AGAGAGAGAGAGAGAGAGGAGGGTTCAAACAACACCGGTGTAACTTTTACCAAGTGTTACACCACTCAATAATTATATATTAATTTTGAATTTTGAAAATCTAACCGTTAGATTGAAAGTTCATATCTCTTAGATCATATGTACAAAATTTTATATTAACCCAAGATTATTTGATACTTTATTCTCATAAAACAAAATTGACGTAATATATTTATTTCAAAATATACTAAAATATGAACACATTGTTTACCTTCAAGTTGTGGTTCAAATTTAACAAAATTTGACATAAAATTCACATTGTTTACTAAAATATGAACACATTGTTTACCTACGAGATATGAACTTTCAATCCAACGATTAGATTTTTAAAATTCACATTTAATATAAAGTTATTGAGCGGTGGAACACTTAGTAAAAGTTACACCGGTGTCGTTTGAACCCTCCTCATATATATATATATATATATGTAATTTTTATTAAGTATTAAATATAAATTTTATAAATTCAATCGTTAGATTAAAAATTTTTTACTCTAAGATCATATATACAAAATTTTATATTAATTCAAGATAATTTGATATTTCATTCTTACAAAATAAAATTATCGTAATATATACATTTTAAAATATATTAAAATATAAATATTTTGATTACTTTTAAATTGTTCAATTTTAACAAAATTTAATATAAATATATAAAATGATATCAACTTTTAATTTAACGGTTAGATTTACAAAATTCGCATTTAATATAAAATTATTGAACAATGTAATATCTAGTAAAAATTATATTAGTATTATTATAATCCTCTTTTATATATATATATATATCCAATCTAATATATCATGTAATATATACAAATTAATTTGAAGTCATTTGTTGACGATTTAGCGTGTGTTTACTTCCGATTTTGGATGTGAAAATTCACGTTTACAGGAAGCAAAAAATCCAAGCTTCCACTAAATTTGATTGTAAACGTGGAGAGAGAAAGAAAAATCACGTTCATAAATCAAAACCAAACACGCACTTAATGGTATTAAATTTGATTCACAAGCTTAATAATAATACTTAATTTTAGTTCTTGTAAGAAAAATTCTACTTGTTGATCACTATTCTTGATACTTTTATTTTTTGTTTGTCTTTACATTAAAAAAAACATTAACATTGTTATAATCTTTGAACATAAAAGATAAAAATAACCAAGAAAATTTAGAACTAAAAAGTTAATAACCTAACAAAATTATGAATCTAGTTTTTGTTAGTGATTTTTCATTGGCGGCAAGTCATTTGTTAGTGTTATGATATAGTTTTGCTGAAACTATGCACTTGTCCTAACATCAAAATGAGACAACTCTTAATCAATTTTCACAAAGGAACAAATAGCATGAGAAGTTACAATTGCCTCTAAAATGATGAAAATATTTTGAGTTCAAAGTATCTTTCGGTAATTCTGTTAAATTGTAACCACACATAATTGTTGATAAGCCAAAAGATTTTATAATTACCTTGTCTCTAATTGTAGAAAAGCAAGAACTTGAGACCAAAAATTTGAGAAAATACAACAAAACTAATCCATATAAACTCATAATTTTAAAATTATTTAATATTTAATGTTTACGGGTATGTTTGTATATAGATAGATGACACATTTTAAAGTTGCATTTAGTGTTTCAACTAAAAAAAAACACTCACTATGAGATAAAATGACTTTTTTTTTACTAAATTGTCTTATTTAGTGTATATATATATATATATATATATATTTTTTTTTTTTGATAATTTTATCTTTACAAGTATCTTTTTATAAATTATAATTTTTTTATTATTTTTTTTAAAATTTCACTTCATTTTAATAATTACTTACTATTATATAATTCTTATCATTTATTATTTTTTAAAAATAATTCACACAAAACTTGTATCTATGCTTTAAAACCCTTTCCGCAAAACCCGGTTTTGAGGGAACAGACAGCACTAGAATAGCTCCGACTTGACGCTCAGTTTTATCTGTGCAATAGTGTTAGTTACGTTGCTCACTCTCCCACTTTCCATTTCAATTCTCTCTCATCGGGGATGAACCTTCTCTCTCTAACCTCGCCACTTCCCCTTTACTATTGTTCATCTCCTACTGTAACGAGACTTCCCTCTTCATTCAAATGCACATCCCGCGCAGGTTAGTCATTTCCGCTACATTTTTCATATCATGCTCGCTCTCAACATCCCTTGTGTTTGTGTCTTTGCTCGCAGTTTTAAGGAAATGCTTCAAAGGGGAAAAGGAAGAGGAGCTTCTAGAAGGGATGCCAAAGGAGTATTATGACGATGTATGTATGAAAGGAGTATTATTTGTGGGATTCTTACTATTTCTTATTCAATTTTAGTTGCATGGCCCTGATTGATTAGATCTTTCAAAGCTTCATTCAAACTTGACTTGTTGTTTTGTTGGTCAATTAGGCTGTGCTTCTACCTTCTACTAACAACCCTTGCCAGTGGCAGCATATGTTTAGGGAAAGTATAGCTTTAACGCCTGACAAAATTCTTATTTTTTAGTTTATTTTCTCTTTAATAACTATCGTATCAAAATGACGAGTGAACGGTTTTTGTCTCGACGAATATGGACTGTAGAAATGTTGTGTGTGGAATGAGTGTGTGTATCTTGGCTTGTATGTGCGCTATCTTGTAAAACCAAAATTGTTGGGCGATTCTCATTAGCCTTCTCTAGAACAGGAATGGCAAGCCCGGCAACGTGAAAAGAACAAGGAGGTACATCGGAGTCGCAAACAGGAGGAAGAGGAAGAGGAAAGAAGGATGGAAGAGTATCGTGAAATTGGCATGCGGTTGAAGGAATACCCAGAAGAAGATGTCATAAAAGCAAGGAAATTGGTTGCAAGCCTTATCAGAGCTGCTGAAGAAGTGGAAGAGGTAATTTCTTGGTGCACCAACTTACTAAATGTTGTGCAGATAAGCAGATTTCCTACTGAGCTAGTTTGTATTTTCGATTCTAAATTTACACCCGATTATATCTCAATTATTCATTAAATGGATCCTGCATGGTGTGCAAAGGATAAATGTTTAGGGCTCACCTTGATAAAATGTTGGGTAACCAAACTGAAGCCTAGGGTGTTTTTTTCTTGACCATACAGGAGTCATCTTTCTGTTCTGGTGAGTATTAAGAAATTAATTGTACTGCAACCAGTCTACTTGGTCACTATTAATATGGAACAGTTTTAAATTGCAGTTGTGGTAGCAATTGTGGTTGTGTTAAAATCCTTGACATTGCAGACAAATGCGGCTGATCTGGCCACAATTACAGTCGTGATGTGGTTACTGTAAACATAAAATCCTTTATGTTGTGGTTGCAATTGTGGACTGTAATTTAAAATCCTGTATAGAATTTAAGGGAGAAGTGACCTTACAAACTTAAAACTGAAGAACACAATTGTTCTTAATGTTATAAATTTGATACCTTGACTGGGAAGTTTGACACAAAAAAAATTGCACTTTTAACTGAAGGAAATTATGATATAGTTCACATTAAAAAAAAAAAAAAAAAAAAAGGAAAAGCAAGATGAAAAAAAAAGGAAAGTAATGGTCCGCATACAACAGCCTTTTTAAATGTTCTTGCATAAAATTTTCCTTTCATTAAATAGTATTCATTGTATAGTGTCTATGTTTTTTATTTACTGATAACTTGTGCATCATTTATGCATATAACTAAGAAAATAGTAGTATTATAAAGAAGATAATTTAATTCTAGATGGCATAAGCCTTTTATTTTCTTTATTTGACTGATTTGTTTATTTTTGCACATGTATTTGTGTGTATTCAGAGATACTGACTCACTTTTTTCTGATAGAAAATTGAGGAAGCTGCTGAGAAAGGAGAACTTACTGAACTTGTTTTAATGGTCATATGGAATCGCCTTGATCTTGCTCGGCGTGATGTAAGTTGCTAATTTTTGCATCTGAAATATTCTAGGTGTATATTTCAATTAACTTGCGCATAGGATTTTATTTTGTGATGAAAAATAAGTGGGAAAGTAGCATATGTTTTTTACTCTTTTCCCACAGCCTAACTATTAGATTGTAAATCTTTCATCACAAAAGTTTTTAGGTAATCATTTGTGTTGGGGAGAATTTTTTAGGCCCTTATTATCAGATTTTTTATGGCATATGATCAACAAAGTGGTGTTTTTCTGAATTAGAGCCATAATTATATTTAGTTACAGACTGAGGTTCAGATTGGACACCGTTTTTATACTTAATATATACAAACACTTGAAAATACTACTTTTGTTGGATTAAATTTATAACTAAAACTACTTTCTTTTTAACTGTTTGAATAATATTTACTTCTTCCACATCACAAAAGAAAATTGATTGTATGCAATGAGTGAGGTGCTTATTTAAAAACTGGGAGTTTGTGATACAGAAGGTACCCGCTAGCCAGCTACTGATGGGCACTACATTGTTCTTGACTAGGAACTTATATCAGGCACAATTTTTTTAAATGAACTGAAACTTGGCAAAATTATAATTTTCTTACAAAATTTCAATGTTGTTTTAGAATATAAGTGACCAATGTAGTAGCCAGTTTACTGTCAGAAGGAATAAAATGTTTTTAAAGTATAATGTAATCCTTTAATCTGGTAGGTGAAAGAGTAGATATATATAATTGGTGTTTTAGGCTCAGTGGATTTCTGTCCAACTATTGATTTTCGCTAGATTTGCAGTTCTATTTAAGCTGTAAACTAACTGATCACAGCCTTCCTCTATCATTTGGCAGCCTCGGTACCAATATTGGAATTAAGACATTATTAAGCTAAGTGTAATTTATTATGTTTGCTGCTCTGTATTTTTCTGTGCTTGATATCTTTTATTATTAAGCCAAATAAATTATTATCTTGATAGACATTATGCTAAGTGTAATTTACTGCTCTTTATTGGTCTGTGCTTGATATCATTCTGATAATTTGATAGAGATTATCATAAGTGAATATTATAATTACTGAGTTAGTACTGTTACTGTGTCTACTTCTGAAAGAACTTGATATAAAATTTTTCATCCTCTGGCTCTCACTATCTGGTTTTGATACATTTATCACCTCTTTACAGGAAGAAAAGGATGCCATTAGAAGTCTGGATCTGTTATACAGAAGGGTTGAGGTAACAACTGCCCCTTTTTTGGGACTATTATTATATAGCTGCACTTATAATTAGGAGTATCAGCTCTTATTTGAATTATGTCAGTGAAAAGTTTATTCAGTTATTTCCCCACCCCCTTGCTTGATGGAATTTGTTGTCTTAAAAGATTCTTTAAAAATTGTCAAATTTTACAGGTGTTGTTTACTCTATGTATGAAAATGCTTGCAACAGAATAGGAAAATCTGCTGTTAAAGAGAAGCACGAATTTGTGCTTCTCTTGGGAAGCAAAAGCATACATAAATATTATTAAATTTTTAGATCAAAATTTTCTCTTTGAATAGCACTTTTCATACCAGAAGCTTTTAAGTGCACAATTAAAAAATAGTAATAGTAATTCCTAGTAAGACCAAGTGTTTATTATAGAGCCTCCCCATTACTTTGGTGATCGCATTTACCTGTGGTAATGACAGAAGTTTTGCATCGGATGATTGGCTCGAACTATTCTTGCGTTTTGATAGGATCTTGGGGTATCAATTATTGTAATAACTAATGCGATTCTTAAACAATTTTTGTTGAACTTAATGCAAAAGTATATGATTATGGTTTTTTTTCCATTTTTCAGAATACCTTGGATATTGTAGACCTTTTCCTTCCCAGATCTTTATTCTTATAAACTTTTACATTGGCTTTTATTTTGAACAATTCTAGCATATTATGTCCTTCACAGTTTAGCTTAACCTTAATACTCCTTTTCAGAGTTTTTTTTTCTTCTTCTGTTAGACTGAGATCTTGAAACGGGAGGCTACCCCTGCGATGAGATTGCTCAATGATCTTTTGATTATGTATGATGGCTTTGATTTTGAAGAGTGGCTAAAGAAATGTAGAAAGGTCATGATTGATACATTTCCTCGGGAGGATCCATTTAGCATTCTTGTTCCACCAGGATTTGAGTCATTCGACATAGATAAGGTAAGCTGCACCTATAGATTACAGGGCTTAGACATTAGTCATGTCTTGTAGCTCCTTTAAGTTTGAGTTTCCTCCCTTGCTCTCATGATAATAACTGAAGCTGCAATTCCAATATAATTAACTGTATGATTGAGTGGATTCTAAGATGCAGTTGTAAGTATCAATACCACTTAGCACTTAACTGAATCAGTATTTAAATAACCAAATGTTAGTCCAGTTCACCATGTTAAGAATAGGTACTTCATTCAACTGATAAACAATTAACAAAAATATGTTTAACAATTACAATTGAAATTAATCATTGATATAAAATGGTTAAGATTAATTCAAGTTTATTTGTTTACACATTGATATTAAGTAGTTAAACTTGATTGAAGTTTATTTGTTTATACATAAGTTTGGTTAAAACTAAAAGTGTCATGGTACAGAATCCGTCTAAACTAAAATTTAAAAGTTGGAAATCACCTCTGTTTAAATCCCCTAATAATTTTTTCCCTTCAATGTTGTGTGATATCAGCATCACGGGCCATTGCGACCGTCACTTGAAGTTGACGATCCTCTTTTCAGGGTAGATTTTGTAAGGGAGGTGGATGCATTGCTGCAAGAGGTTCGTTCTGAACAGAGTGAAGTACAGAATGAAACAGGGTTTGATCCTGAATCTGTTGCAAATAGATTGAAGCAACAGGAGAAGCAACAAACAATCCGCCAAGTAGAAGCTCTGTTAGATTTAGCCATTGGTTTGAAATGGTAACTATTTTGTCGTAGCTTGCATTAGTTGTGAATAGGAATTGGCACACACTGCAGGTGAGAAACATAGGTGGGAAATCGGTTAGGAGAGAATCGAATCAATTTCTTTTTGTGAACAGTAAAGTTAACTTTTTAGTAAATATTTATGGTGTAATATTTTGGTAAATAATTTTTTTTTTGTAATATTTGGATAAAAAAAGTCTAATGGTCATCCACACTTATCAATTTTTCTGGATCGATTTGCTTAAACTTTTTTTTTCTCAAAGCGTTTTTTTTTAATGAAATAAACACTTATTTTTTTATGTGTATGTCAATATATTTTTTTTAAATAAACAGTTTTTTACTTATCATTTTTTTAAACATTTGTTAAAAAACACGTATTTTTAAGTTTAAACAAACACACTCCACTATAATTAGAGAGATATTAGTGATTAAAAGGTGGATTTAAAATCATGTAAAATGTTATTGAAATCTTGATAACCTCACTTTCATTGTCCTAACCCGAGCCGGATTAGATTTTGATAATGGAATACAGATTGGGATTTTGAGTACTTATTTTCCTGATATTGAAGGAAATGGGTGGGTGGGTCCTGAACATTTCAGTACATGTGGAAAATATATGCAACTGCCAAGCCAAGGGGTCCATCACCAAAAGTAAGAAAATGCTTGCAACTTGCGCCTTTGTCTGCTGTGCCTGTGCAACTACAAATCGTGTGGAATAATATTAAAGTTGTGAATACATTTTCTTTTTTATAATTTGAAACCCTATTAATGATTAGATTGAAATAAAGAAAAAACTGAAGAAAAATAAATAAAATAATATAAATGAAAATATAATAATAAATGCATATTATCTGAATTGATAAAAAAAAGATAAAAAAAGAAAATACGGAAATTTCTCATTACTTATTTATATGCATGGAAAAGAGAAAATAAATAAATTATATGAGATATTTTTATATTAATTAAAAATATAATTTTTAATTTAATGTTTTTATATAAAATTATTATTATTGTTTAAGATACATATCTATAATTATTAATAAAAGGAATATATTTTTAAATAA